TTTCTTTCCGATATCTTGTGTTAGTTGAGAAAGCTCTGTGTCATTTATTGCTTTTTGCTGTGCTTTGATATGGACATGTAACCCATTAAATCAGGTCTATGTCTCTCTTAACCAGGGGGTGTTACAGGTGGTTGGGATAACCTGCTTGCTGTGATTCCCGGAGGCTCATCCACCCCCCTTATCCCAAAGTCTGTATGTGAGACAGTGTTGATGGACTTTGATGGCCTGATTCAGGCACAGACAGGACTTGGGACAGCGGCTCTCATTGTCATGGACAAATCGGTAAAGGCAGATCCTTGACCCCTGCTGCTCTTTGTCTCTTTTGAATGGGTTTTGACCATCTTCTTCTTTTCCAGACAGATCTAGTTCGAGCCATTGCCCGCCTCATTGAATTCTACAAACATGAGAGCTGTGGGCAGTGTACGCCATGCCGCGAAGGTGAGTGTTGATGCCTGAGGCTTTTCTGACTTCCTCCGCAGAATAGGATTCAGGATGGAGGAAAAAGCAAGGGATTCATGTAAAATTCCTGACTTCCTTCAAGTATGAGGACTGGTGAAAACGCCGGGAAATTAAAAGAGTGACCTCTGAAAGGGAAATCTGCAAGTGATCACAGCCCAAAGATGCTGCCTATTTCTCTTCCTTGTGGCTATTTGCTTTTATTAATCTTGGTGTTGTATTATTATTTTTCCCCATGAATTTTTGTTCCTGCAGGTGTTGACTGGATGAATAAAGTGATGTGGCGTTTTGTGAAAGGCAATGCACAAGTGGCAGAGATTGATGCACTATGGGAAATTAGCAAGCAGATTGAAGGACATACTATCTGTGCCCTGGGCGATGGGGCTGCCTGGCCTGTACAGGTAACTTTCTGATTGTCAGAGCATGGAAAAGTAATTTACCACAATTTTTAAAGAATTGCATCTTGATTGAGTCTGAATTGATGTTTTTATATGCATGTGTTTTATTTTATTGCATTTTATATTGTGTTTGTTTTTAGGCACTTCGTGCCATCTGTAAGCTGCCCTGACTCCCTTCAGGGAGATGGTAGCGAGATATAATAATAAAAAAATTATTATTATTATTATTATTATTATTATTTAAAAATAGAAGCATCTCTAGACTGTACTGGTTGTAAGATTTAGAGAGGAGTTATCTACAAAAAGGAATTTTTCTAGGCTCTGTTTTTTATCTATTTTGTGAAGAAATGTAGAATTATTGTGGAGTTTTTTTCAGATTAGCTATGCTACTGTTAATTCAATACTATGAAAAAATAGTTTATTTTAATTGTTAAAACTATTACGATAAAATTGTGGCTATATTATGTTTTAATCTATTATCAGTCTTGGTTTCTGCACTGTGAGAAAGATAGGATGTCAATAAAATAAGAAATACATAAAAATAAAGAGTTAGAAATGAATGAATCAGGGTAAGTAGTGAATAGGTTGGTGCGGAGGCAGTCATATTGCATTTCATTCTTTTAAGTCTTAGCACCTGATTTATTTTTCTAGGGACTGATTCGGCACTTCCGTCCTGAGTTGGAGGAACGGTTTAGACAATACCATGAAACTAAGGCACAGCAGGCATCTGGATGAGCAAGTAGAAGTCCGACTGCATTCAGGTTACTCCTGTGACTATTGGGAGGAATTTCTTCATAGACAAGATATTTCTGCTTTTGCTTGAGTACTGCAAACGGCATACTCACTTGACAAGGCCATATGGGTGGCAACATGCCTCAAACTGTTTTGCTTACAGGGCAAAGTATCTATTAAATGTTTGTGACTGACTTCTGCTTTGGACATTCTTGCTTAAGGGAAATAAGGTGAATCTGTTCATGTTATTTGAAGTACTTTTGTGTTTCTTTGATTAGTTTGTAATTAAAAGGAAGAAGCAAGGGGCAAACCTACTGTTTTTATTCCCTTGTAGGACAGTATTTGGGGTTCGTTTAACACACCTAAACTCTTTTCAGTCCCTCGGGCAAAGTCTATGCTTAAAAAAATAAGATGTTAGAATAGGCTATATAGCAGGAAGCAGAAAACATACTACACAGACAAATGATATGTCCCTGCTCATTGCATATAAATCATACAATTCCACATTGGAAGGGGCCTTGTGGGCCATCAAGCACAACCTCTGTTTAGTGCAGGTACCTGCTTAGCCTGTTTTGGAAAACTTTGAAAGAAGGAGGCATCACCACCTATCTAGGCAACTAGTTCCATTACTGAACCTCTGTTACTATCAAGAGGTTGTTCAGTGAAAATCTGCTTTCCTGTAATTTCAAAGCATTAGACCTGGTCCTACCCTCTGGAGCAGCAGAGAACAGGCCTGTCCATTCCTTTCTGTGGCAGCCCTTGAGGTATTTAAAGAGTGTAATCATGTCGTCCCCTTGAGTAATCATACTTAACATGCCTAACTCCTACAATCTTTCCTTTTACAGTATTCTCCATATATCTCGTCTTGTTGCCTTTCTCTGAACCCACTCCAACGTGTCTATATCCTTCTTAAATGTGGTGCTCAGAACTAAACACAGTACTCTGGTGCACAGTATAATGGAACCACTAGTTCCATTCACTTAGAAGCACTTTTGAATAATGCTTTGATATAGTGGTTTATAATGCAACATTGAAAAGTGTACTATTGCAGATTATTCATTCATTTATTTAAGAAATTTATAGCCCTCTTAAGGGCCCAAGGTAGCTTACAGCAGATAAAACATGCATAATAAAAGTTAAAACATTTGAAAGCAAATATTAGTAGTTGCAGTCACACATCTTAAAACATACATTAAACTATAATAAAACATTAAAACTTGTAACCACCCAGATTAGAAATAGTAATTTATTAGAACTCCTTAGAGCCTTGCAACTCATTCATGTTTCATTCTGTTGCCTATGTAGTTGCTAGATTAAGAGATAAACAACAATGTGTACTCAAAACAGTATATACCCGTAGTCCTTCTTTATGCTGTCTATACATCTATCACCTATTGCTCTTGAAACATTACAAAAAGAAAAGCATGGAAATGTCAAGAGACTCAGACTGATTCTCTTGAAAGGAGATTCCATCTGAACATTAGGAAAAACTTCCTGAATGTGAGAACTGTTCAGCAGTGGAACTCTCTGCCCTGGAGTGTAGTGGAGGCTCCTTCTTTGGAGGCTTTTAAACAGAGGCTGCATGGCCATCTATGGGGGTGCTTTGAATGCAGTTTTCCTGCTTCTTGGCAGGGGGTTGGACTGGATGGCCCATGTGGTCTCCTCCAACTCTATGATTCTATTATACTGCAAGTAGTAGCTTCCTATATTCCTCATAATGTGCATATTGCTGGTGTTTAAGGCATTCCCCATTTCATTTTTGCCACATGAAGAATTCATATAATTATATGCTGAAATTAACCATAACTGAGTGGTTTTTGCTCCAGGACCATGATTGTGTGGGTTGAGTTCATCTACCATAGCAAAATGGGGAATGTTCATTCCTCCTTGGCGTAAGTTAAATCTTTGCATTTGTGTTGTGCAACCCGTAACTTTAAAGATTCCCTACTGCCAACATACCCTGTTCCTGTTTGTGCTGAAACGAGAATGTGACCGGCTGGAAGATACCAATGGTTCTGTCTGCTGCTGGCAGTTTACATGAATGGAAAAGTGGTTCCTGATAGACAAAAATATTTGCTGAAAGGTGCACTACGTCATGTTACATGTCATTTTTATTGTTCTAGTTTCCGAAGTTTAGAACCCATAATTTATTTTATTTATTTACAACATTTTTACCCCGCCCTTCACAACCCCCGAGGGGGGACTCAGAGCGGCTAACACTGGCAATGATTTGATGCCGCAAAACACAGTATAACAACAGTATAAAACCATAAATACACAATAGATTCAAAAACAATAATTTGTAGAGATGCTGCCATATTTTCATTTTAATAACAGTAGACAAAATAAGCACAGATGAAGTGTTGCTGGTGTCGCCTCACACAAAGCTTAGCTTGCTACAAATGGCATCTTTCTGTACACTGTGATCCCCACACCCATGAAATTGCTAATACAACTGTAGTTTGATATTGTTAGTACAATTGAAGTGAATTAAATCCAGGAAAGCTCATGCTAGAATAAATTTGGGAGATCTCCCCCCCCCCCCCCAATTTTATAATTAGTATAATCTGGTGCTTTATAAACATCCTTGAAAACCGAATCCAATGGGGATGCAGAGCTGTTTTTGTGTGACAGTCATTCCTGACTTACGGCAACCCTTTCACAGAGGTTGCTTTTGCTTTCCTCTGAGGCTGAGAAAATGTGACTCGGAAGATACAAGACTGCTAGAATACATTTGGAAACAGTGATTGTTAAGTGCCTTTAAGTGTCCCTCCGGACAGGCCCTATATCCAGAATCCGATCCCAGGTTTTCTGTTTATCCCAGTTTATCTGGCAGTGGGGACTCATATCATCCAGTTTAATGCAGAAAACCTGGGATCAGACCCTGGGATATAAGACCAGCCTGGAAGGGCCCTGAATCAGCTCCAATGTATGGCAACCCTTTAATTGGTCAGGTTTATTCAAAATGGTTTGCCATTGCCTTCATCTAAGAGAGTAATTTGCCCAGTGAGTTTCTATAACTAAGTGCAATGCCAGTGGTTCTCAACCTTTTGCCCTCTAGGTGTTTTGGACTTCAACTCCCATAATTCCCGGCAGTTGGTCCTACTGGCTGGGGCTTCTGGGAGTTGGAGTCCTTAACACCTGGAGGACAAAAAGGTTGAGAACCATTGCATTACCGCCTCAGAGTTTACAGACTAATGATCCATTTGATTTGCGGCCTAGTTCAGGATCTCGCCTCAAAAATAATTGTATGTTTTTAAAATTAAATGGAGAATTCAGGAGGTGAGGTGACAGCAACTGCCGACAAGAAAGAGAAGAGCGACTAACAAATAGACAACCGCGCATGCGCATGAGGCTAGCAGCAGCCTTCCTTCGATTGGTGACCAGGGGCGGGGCTTCGGATTTCCGCTGTTTCCATTGGCTGAGGCGGGCGCCTCCGTCGACATTCTCCTGCCCGAGTTTTCAGGAGGACAGAATCCCGTCTTTGGGCTGAAGGGACGTTCGCCAGAGCGCGGAAAGGTGATCTCCATCTTGTTACCGGGCGGAAGTGTGCTTTCTCGTTCAGATGCGTTGAGGGGAAGCCTGGCAAAGTCCTGCTGGTTTGGGATCGGCTGTGGGGAATCAGGGGAAGCCTTGGGGGCCCTTTTCCTCCTCCTCCTCCTCCTCCTCCTCCTCCTCCCGGCTGCCATTCCCTGGGGGCTATAACAGGACTGGGCTTTCTGAGCCAACTGTGTCAATGGGCAGCCGTAGCCAGGGCAGGACATTGCAGTCAATTGCAGCACTTTGGGGTGGGGGTGTCACACTGTCTCAGCCTCAGAGCAGGGCAAGGATAAACCCCCTCTCTGAATAAATCTTTCCCAGAAAACTATTATATCGCCCCTTACATTGGAAATTACTTGGGAAGCCCTCAAACACAACCCTCCATAGAATGAATTTCCTTCTCTGACACGCGAGCGCATCCTGACGTGTGCCTGGCTACACGCATGCCACCCGCGGGGATTTTTCAAGATTTTTCCAACACCAGGGCAATTCCCTATGTCATATGAAAGAAGGATTGGAAACTTATTGGGTGATATTGGAAGATAATTTCGTAATACAGTAGACTCTCAGTTGTCTGGAACTCAACCAACCAGCAAAATGTTTTGACAAAATAATACTTTAAATAAAAATAATTTTTTTTTTAGCGAAAATGCAAGTTGATGTGCTGTGCTTTTACCTACCCACTCCATTTAAAATATGGTAAAACTATTGTGGACATTTATTGCTTAATTTGCTTTATTCAGTATCAAATCAATACACCGTTTATGGTATGTCATAGTATGGGGTATAGTATTAGGCGATTTTAGTGGTAAATTCCAAGCTACTAGAAACTACATTTATCCAGCATCTAACAATCCCCACGGGTGCTGGTTAACTGTGGCCCCATCTACACAGCCATATAATCCAGTTTCTGAATCCATATTATCTGCTTTGAATTGGGTTATATGGCAGTGTAGACCCATATCATCCAGTTCAAAGCAGATGATTCAAATTCAGAAACTGGAATATATATATGGCATTGTGGATCCAGCCTGAGAGTCTACTGTACTTGTGGGTGTTTGCTCAAAAAGCCTGTCAAAATGTTAACATTCGGATGGCTGGGGAACAGACTCCTTAATTTAATTTCATTTTAGTAATTTCGGATTCTGAAATGGCACAGGTTTGTTCCCTTGGACATTAAACATTAGACAAATGCATATACAGTTCCGGCCCAGCATACCTGTCCGAATGTATCTCCACCTACATCCCACCTCGGAGTTTAAGATCTTAAGTTTTTGGGGAGGCCTTGCGCTCGACCCCGCCTTTGTCGCAAACGCACTTGGCAGGGATGAGGGACAGGGCCTTCTCTGTGGTGGCCCCCCGCTTGCGGAATTCACTCCCCGGCAAAATTAGGTTATCTCCATCCCTCCTTTCCTTCAGAAAGAAGTTAAAAACGTGGATGTGGGGCCAGGCCTTCGGGTAATCATGCTGACAATGATAATAACAATGATGAGAATCGCTATGGAAATGGACTATGGACAAGCTTGATGGAGTCTCTAACTACAGAAATTGGCTTAGATAAATATAACACCAGGCTGTTATATTTAAACATATTTGAATTGAATTGATTTAATGTTTTAACTGTATGCAATTATTGGGTTTTATTAAGTATTTTACTATGTGCACATGGAGGTATTGAATTGTTGCTGGCTGGAAGCCACCCTGAGTCCCCCCCTCCCACAGGGGTTGAGAAGGGTGGGGTACGAATAGCTGAAATAATAAATAAATAAGTTCACTCTGATTTTGTCACATTTCCGCTTCTTTGCTGAATGATGCACATTACTAATAGAAGTTCCTCTCTCTTTCCCCTCTTGTGCTCTAGCAAACTATGTGCACCATCATCCAGCTGTAGAAAACACTGCTGGGCTGGGCTGAGCAGCAGGAGGCGAGTTCATCTAGTGGGCAGACCCATGTAAGTGTTAACTTTGTGCCTCATCACACTACACCTTAAAGAGCAGAGTTTACTTTAGAGTGCATCCCACTCTACCTCCTGCAAAATTCTGGGATTTGTATTTTAGGATGGGCCTACAACATTCTCAGCCAGAGAGGTCCTGAGCCTCACTAAACTACAAGCCCCAGAATTCTGCAGAAAGCTTTAAAGTGAGATGTAGTGTAGCGTGATAAGAGTTTACACTGATTTATTACAGTTTCAAACACTATTGAAGAAAGTAGTTTCCTTTGGCTGTTTGAGTTGCTATGGGAGGAAATGGCTAACCCTACCCATAGTTTCTCCCTCTTTTTCCCCCCTATAGGGAAATATGCGCCTAATTCTTCGCTACCTCTGCCAGGGTATGACCCCTGTACCCATAACCAACATATCTCCAGTTCGTAGGTACTTGTCTTGGGAGAATGAGCAGCGCTGCAGAGGGCTGCTGGAGGCGTCCAAGAACCGGCACAAGCAAGAGGATGTCTCAGCCGCTGTCCTGGTCTCCCTGTGCTCCGTGGCTGGGGAACCCGCCATCCTGTACACTCTGCGCTCCAGCACCCTGTCTGGTGTGCACAAAGGAGAGGTCAGGTACTGCACAGCTCAGTCCTGTTTTTTGGACAGGGTTTTTTTTTATTTCTTGTGTCAGGACAGGGTAAAAACAAACAAATTATCCCCTCTAAAAATCTGTATGACCTTGCCTGAACTCTTGAACCCATTGGGACCATTTTCCATTGCAATGTAGATCCCCTCTGGGTTGTTATAGGTTTTTTGGGGGCTATATGGCCATGTTCTAGAGGCATTCTCTCCTGACGTTTCGCCTGCATCTATGGCAAGCACCCTCAGAGGTTGTGAAGATACTTGCCATAGATGCAGGCAAAACGTCAGGAGAGAATGCCTCTATAAAATGGCCATATAGCCCGAAAAAACCTACAAACCCCCAGTGATTCCGGCCATGAAAGCCTTCTACAATACATATATCCCCTCTCTTTATTAGGTTAGACTCTCAGAGGAGTGTAGAAACCAGTGAAAGCTTGGAATGTTTAGCCTTAACATCTGATTAAGGTCTTTGAATATCTAAAGGGCTGTCCTGCCAAAGAGAAGGTAGACTTGTTCTTTGTTTGCTCTAGAAGCCAAACTAGGATCAGTGGGTGATAACTGCAGGGATGAAAATTTCAGATTAACATTAGGAAAAGCTTCCTAACATGGATTACTGTCTTAACAGTGGAACAGACTGCCTTGAGATGTGATGGGCTCTTCTTTGGAGGTACATGTTGAGCATCCTTTATCAGGAATTCAGAAATACTCTAAAATCCAAAATTGTTCACATGAGTGGCTGAGATTAGTGACACCTTTGTTTTCTGATGCTTCAGTATACACAGACTTAAATTATTAAAATGTTTATGCAATTTCCTTCAGACTATATGTATAAGGTATACATAAAACATAATTACATTTTCGATCCCATCTCTAAGATATTGCGTTATGTACATATATGTCCAAAATCCAAGAAATAAATCTGAAATCCCAAAGACTTCTGATTCCCAAACATTTCAGATAAGGGATATCCTACCTGTATTTGGAGACATTATTTATTTATTTACCATATTTATATCCCGCCTTTCTGGAGGGGACTTAAGGCGGCCTTACAACAGGCAGCAATTTGATGCCATACACAAATATATATCAAATAAACAATTACAATTTTAATAAGTTGCATGGCCAATTATTAGGAATGCAGTACTAATATTCTGCATTATAGATCCTGCATTGAACAATGCATTAAAACTAAATGACTTTCAGTGTCACTTCCAATTTCTCAGTGACATGAGAGACCCCTGGCTTTCTGGTCCAAAATTTCCCTTTACAAAGAACCTTGATTTGCTCACACAGCTTCCCAGGTGGCAAGTGTGATGACTCTGACCGGGATATCGTCGCCACGGCACTCAGAGAGACTCGAGAGGAACTGGGTCTACACTTAGGAGAGGACTGTGTCTGGGGCATCATGCGACCTTTGCCTGACAGGGTAATGTTGTGCTTAGATCCATGGATTTTAGGGAGTCCTTTAGAGGGCAAAACTTTTATTTTGTCATGACAAGGGGATCCACATGAAGCCTTGTCATGAGAAAATGATGGACTGTTTTGACTATTGCTGTGGATTGGTTGTTAAGATGTTTATTTCTCTGTGTTATTACAAGGCAAAGCATAAGGAAGCCAGGAAGTCATAAGCATTTAATGTGTGTTTCGTTTTCAGACCAAAATAATGGTTGTTCCTGTGCTAGCGAACCTGGGTCCTCTTGAGCAGCTGATTCTGAAACCTAACCCCCAAGAGGTGAGGCAAATAGTAAAAGGAACACCGTGTTAAATTATGAGCATCCCTTTCACTGGATAAGCTACCAGAGAGATGTATAGGACAGGGCGGGTTTAGTGATACGTTCCTGTTGAGGTTTATTTAGACCCAGAACGCTGTAGGAAGTAGGTTTGGGTGGCGAAACTATTTCTCTGGGGACATGATGATCTTTGCTGTTTGACTTCCAGGTTGAAGCTGTGTTCACACTATCCATCTCCCACCTGCTGAAAGAACAGAACCAGGGCTATACCCACTTTTGTAAGAACGGTGTCTATAGCTATACGATGCCTGTCTTCCCACGAGGCCCTCACCGAGTATGGGGTCTCACAGCCATAATCACTGAATTGACTCTGGAGTTGCTGGCACCCGGGAAATACCAGAGACGGACTCGTGTGGTGGGCAGGCACTAATGTTTTCTAGCTAATGTCCAAACGATGGCTTCTAAGCTCTGGCTCCTGCAACCCCACCAAAGGACTTGAATGCAGGTGAACCGTCAGCCAAGTGTTCATGTCTTTCCAAGACACCATGGTCTTTAAAACCTCGAACCACTTCTTGCTCAGTACACACAACCCCACCCTCCATGGTGCAGTTGTGTTGAATTATTCGCGATGGGGGAAGAACAGACCTATATTGTTTTGTTATCAGGTGGTCTAGGATTTATTTTTGAATAAAATAAAGCTTCATATTTGAAATCTCATGCAGGTTTTTGTTTCAGCATAAATGAGTACATTGTAGACAAAATATGAAAATTTTGAGCTAAAAGAGGCCCCACTGCATCTATTTTGTGTTGTTGGTTTTTTTTTTAGAGTCTACAAGCTTTTGCTCATTAATATTTAATTGCCAGGCCACATTCATCATTATCTGGTAAAGGGGGCACATACCTTTCTGATGACTATATTAATAGTTGCAGTCTATTCAGGACTGATCTCTACCTCGTTCATGGCGTCCATTCTGTAGCAATCTTCTTGTGTTTCAGATTATTCATTCACAGCATTTTCTCCACACTCATCACAGCTGTGAGTGTGTTCCAGTTTGACCAGGTAGCTGCATAATATCCCAATCATTTGCTTTTCACATTGAAGTTGGACTTAACATCTAACATGTGGATTATGGGTGGGGTGTGCACAAACAAGTTTCATTTTCTTAACTATGGGACATCAACACATAGATGTCGGTAATGGACAAAGAAGCCATCTCGGTGGAAAGAATTGCCAGATGTGTATCTCTTGTGCCTCTTATGGTGCATGTGGTTTAATACATGAATAGAGCTGATGTGGTAGGTTGTGGGAAGTAGATCTAAAGTTGTGGTGTACTGCTTAAGTTACAAACCTATGGGATAAAAATGATAGAGCATTAAATGGCTTAAATACATATTTACCTGGTGCCTTTTAGGTAGTCCCCCAGTCTGATGACCTGTCGATATTTTGAACTTCAGTTCCCAGGCTCTTGACCATTGGCCATGCTGGCTGAGACTGATGGGTGCTGAGGTTAAGAACCTCTGGAGGGCAACAAGTAAAGAAAGGATGATATATTGATGCCCTTCATCCATGTAGAGTTCCTGATAGCATACTACTCTTTATTGATGCCCAGTGTGATTATTTTTAAATCTTGCATGTTTGACAAGACTGAACTAATTTTTGCAAGTAGCCTTTGAATAGCTGGTAACTAGCTTTCTTTCCCTTTATCACAAAGACATATTATCGAATCTCAGTCCATTTCAGAACACCCGTCAGAAAACAAGAGCAACCTGAACTTAAATGGATAGCGTTCACCACTGAAGGGATTCAGCCTCAAAACTGGCCTTCTATAAGTTCAATTGTGTTTCACTTGAGTTTGCTGTTTGTATCCCAGACAAAATATCTCTCCAAAAGTGCCACTGACCAGGGTACTACAAAATCCACAAGAACCTTTATTGATGAAGCAAATACAAAAAAATACATCATGTGTGCTTTCAAATGTTCACTGGCTTCTTCGTCATGCAAGCAGTGATGTTGGAGTCGCAGATTTAAATTTTATATAACTTCTATTGTCAGTTAAGATGGTGATAAATATTAAGGTAGGCAGAGGCTACTTTGGAGCTGGTGAACTGAGACTTAGTTATTTGACGTTTATACTTTCAACAAAGGTAAAAAAAACATTTGGACTTCAAGTTTTACCTATACAGCACTTGTTTTCCCCCAGGTGTACGGGGACAGTTAGAGAAATTTCAATGCTCTTTGCTTAAGAAAGGGACAATTAGCTTTGCACAAGGTACTCTGGATCTCAATGGAAGTTATTTTTGTCTTTATTTATTTATTTATTTATTACTGCGCTTGTATACCGCTATTTCTCAGCCTGAAACGGCGACTCAATGCGGTTTACAACAATACAAAAATCACAATATTCAGTTTAAAAGCATATAAACACATATACAATACAAAATTATTGGGCCACCAATAACAATCCAATTGCATCTCGTAACTGAAATCGCAATCCAATCTCGTCGTCCATGGTTACCAGTCCTTTGATCATCAGAATTCATTGCACCGGGTTAACCGAATGCTTGTTCAAACATCCATGTCTTCAATCTTTTCCGAAACACCATCAGCGAGGGGGCTGATCTTACCTCTATAGGGAGGGCGTTCCAAAGCCGAGGGGCCACCACAGAAAAGGCCCTGTCTCTCGTCCCCGCCAGCCGCACCTGTGAAGCCGGCGGGATAGAGAGCAGGGACTCCCCAGAAGATCTTAGGGTCCTGGTGGGCTGATAGGCCGAGATACGTTCGGATAGATAAGTTGGGCCAGAACCGTTTAGGGCTTTAAAGGCCAACGCCAGCACTTTGAATTGGGCCCGGTAGCAAATTGGCAGCCAGTGGAGCTGGTGCAGCAGAGGAGTTGTATGCTCCCTGCGCCCCGCTCCTGTTAGTATCATGGCTGCCGCCCGTTGGACTAATTGGAGCTTCCGGGCCGTCTTCAAAGGCAACCCCACGTAGAGAGCGTTGCAGTAGTCAAGACGGGATGTAACCAGAGCGTGGACTACCGTGGCCAAGTCTTTCTAATTGAATTTCTAACAGGGCCTCCCAGTGGCACAGCGGGTTAAACCGCTGAGCTGCTGAACGAAAGGTTGGCGGTTCAAATCCGGGGAACGGGGTGAGCTCCCACTTATAGCCCCAGCTTCTGCCAACCTAGCAGTTTGAGAACATGCAAATGTGAGTAGATCAATAGGTACCGCTTCTGAGGGAAGGTAACTGTGCTCCATGCAGTCATGCTGGCCACATGACCTAGGAAGTGTCTATGGACAACGCTGGCTCTTTGGCTTAGAAATGGAGATGAGCACCACCCCCCAGAGTTGGACACGACTAGACTTAATATCAAGGGGAAACCTTTACCTTTACTTTGACTGAATTGTAATTGTGTTACCTGTTATTTTATTGCTCTTTCTCCCTAGCCCCCACATGGCCAAGAAAGGGAGTGACCTTTGCTTGCATTGATATCATCAGTGAGGCAAAATATCATCCTGTGAGTAATATTGTTACATACTTCTGTGGATGCTTGCCATAGATGCAGGTGAAATGTCAGGAGAGAATGCTTCTAGAACATGGTCATATAGCCCGAAAAACCTACAACAACCCATTGTTTCTTGTCTTCTGCTGTATAAGTTTAACATCTTCTCCTGATGAAGAAGCCAGCAAAGCTTTGAAAAAAATGATGTATTTCCTGCATTTGTTGTTCTTTTATGGATTTTGTTGTATCTTGCTACTGTAAATATGTAACCAGGATACTGTGTGCCTCATTTTCACATGTGTTTCCCCATTCCATCACAAGAGCAAAAAGTTATGGTCTTGGGTCACTAGATGGCACTGCCTCTTTAAAGAATCCAGAGGTGGCTTTTTGTGGATGATTAGTGGTCTGTAACTTGTTGGACTTTGAAGCTCCCCATTAGGATGACCGCCTCTGGAGAGAGCTGCCTTCTCTTCCCAGTGACATTTTGCGGCTTCGAGGAATGCAAGACTTGACTACCTCCTGCTAGCAGGCTAGCCTTCCTGTTTGGATGAAATCGCTGGGGCAGAAAGTCAAGGAGGCATGTCTCTGGGGAGGCACAGTAATGGGAATTCCCTGCCTGAGCCATAGTTGAAAACTCACTGATTCATTTCAAGAATGGCTCACAAAGAGAGGACCAAACAAATAATCAAATACTGAAAAGGTCTGGAGAAAATTGGATGTTATTTCTTTTAAGTACTGAATGGACTGTCAAGAGAAAGCCCTACTAACAAATCCAGCAATTTCCAGCAGTTTAAATTTCCCTACCATTTTGAGCTAATTAAATAATTAAATAGACATAAACTAGCTGATCGGCCTCTATCCTGAATGGACAAAACACTGCCTCCAGATATTGTTAGACTGCAACTTCTGTCAGCTCTAGTTAATATAGCCAATAATGAGCAAAGCTGGGAGACATACTCCTACAGTACCTGGAAGACTACACTTAGCCCACAATCTATTTCTAGTTCCAATTAGAAGAGACCAAATGTTTTGACTTAAATGAGTATTAGATCAAATCAAGACTGGCCTCTCCCTGGAATACAGTGTGACTAAACGGAGACTATTGCACTTTGGATTCATCATGAGGAGCCATGACTCACTAGAAAAGACAATAATGCTTGGTGAGACAGAGGGTAGTATGTAAAGAAGACCTAATTACAAGTGGATACACTAAATAAAAAACACACAGTCCTTAAGCAGTTTTGTTGAGAATAGGGTGATTTGGAGATCTCTTATTACTGATGGGGCTGCAATATGTTGAAGCCAACATGATAGTGAGTCCCTTTTACTTGGGACTACACAATTGTGTTTCTTTGTAGTGATGCACTGTGGTTTCCTCTCCCCACTCCTTTCTTTGTTACCTGTCCAGATGTTAAATCGAGAAAGTAAGCTTTCTAAGCCAGGAAGCTGCCTTTTCCGGAATGTGCTACCAAAAACATGGACCTTCTGCAGTCTTAGTACTGTGTGCTCACTCATGGTAGTAAATTCTTTAAATTTTATCAAATATCTTTTGAGTCAGTGTTGTTCGGAAATTGAATGTTTTGCCCTATGTTGGAAACTGCCCTGAGTCCTCCTGCGAAGATAGGGCAGTACAGTGTTCCTTCGCTTTTCGTGGACTTGCTGTTTCGCGGGTTTTTGCCTCCTGGCAACGATGGAGTGTGGAAGGGAGTTTCACCCTCCCCTTTGGGAGAGAGGCAGCCAATCATAAAAAAAAAGAGAGAGGAGATACAAATCAGAATGTAAATCACAGTCATAGCCTCTTCCTAAAAAAATGTGCATGGTGCCTTTAAATCTCTCCTTGCTTCTGCCTCACCCTCGGAATGCTATATATATGTGTGTGTGTGTGTGTGTGTGTGTGTGTGTGTAGCATCCCTACTTTGCGGATTTTCACTTTTCGCAGGTGGTCCTGGAACGTAACGCCCGCGATGAGTGAGGAAACACTATATATAAATAACGTTTTATTTATTTGTTTATTTATATTTGGTTAAGTCTCCTTACAATGTTATCAAATGGAAAAGCCATGTGGCAACGCTGTGGTATTGATCAGTGCATGGAGCTGTGCCAGTCCCAAAAGAGTTCAACTGTCACAGGTCCTTCCCCTATATTTGCTCTTTTTGTTATTAATGGGAATTGTGAAATTGCAATAAAAATGAAAATAATAGGAAAAGGTATGCTGCA